TCACTGAGCTAGGTGGGCAGCTCAGTAATAAGAAAGCTTGCCTAGCATGTGTGAAATCCTAGGTTCGATCCAGCCCTATTTTGTTTGTATTTTATTTAGAGACAGGGTCTCACTGAGTTGCTTAGCACACCTCGCTGTTGCTGAGGCTGGCTTTGAACTCACAATCCTCCTGTCTCAGCCTCCAGAGCTAAAGAGATGTGCACAACTTCGCCCAGCTTAATTTCTCATTGTTCTCTTGTACATAATATAGGATCACTATGGTCACATAGTTATATATGCACACAGGATACTAATGTCTGATTCATTCTACTATCCTCCATCCCCCCTCCCCTCCCTTCACTCCCCTCTGCCTAATCCAAAGTACCTCTATTCTTTCCTAGCCCCATCCCCCTTATGGTTAATTAGCATTTGCATATCAGAGAAAATATTCAGCCTTTTGTTTTGGGGAATTGGCTTATTTCTCCTAGCATGGTATTCTCCAGCTCCATCCAGTTACTGGCAAATGCCATAATTTCATTCTTCTTTAAGGCTGAGTAGCTCTTGCAACTTTTGAGATCTACGATGATCTACTACATATAAAGTAGATAAATCATGATAACAATTAAATCTAATATCTCCTAAAAGCAGGGCTAATTTTTCACATTACCATTTCATCATAATATTTTGGGTCCTTCTAGAACATGTTTTTATAGAAAGCAGAAATAATCTTGAGACTCAACAGGCTGGTAAAAAGGGTTGAATATAAACCACAATGATGAATTAGTGATAACTTCTTGAAAAATCTTATAAATAATGGCAGACCAGCAAGTGATTATAAAAGGGTGGCAATGCCTTTAATCATATAAAAAATAAATAAGTAGCACTCCAGTGAGTTTTTAAAATTTCTCTTTTAAAAAACTGTCAAAGTTAATTACATATTTATATAAGCTAGCTTCACTCTGATGGGAAAGAGATGATAGAAAATAATTCAGGGCAGTGCTATCTAGTAAGATTTTCTTGACAAAAGAAATGTTGAATACAATATGCTATCCAACATAGTAGACAGTAGCAGTGTAAGGCTACTGAACACCTGAAATCTGGCTAATGTGACTACATAATTCTAAGAATAACCAAATCTCACTAAAGTGAGATATAGTCATTGTTGTTATAGCAATAAAAAACAATTCTTTCTTGTTAGGCTTTCAAATGTTCCAAATTTCTCTTAAGTAATGGTTCTTAACTTCTTAGGGACAATGGGCCTCTTAAGACCCTAATGAAATTATGAACCCTTTACTTTAAAATATACAGATTTTTGACATTTTACCACTTGCATCCCACTGCAAAGAAAAGGACATCAATTAACACTTTCATTATAAGGATATGAGAAATATAACTTAATTAGTATTCTGAAGGGCACAGACTATAGTGATGAAAAAATATGACTTCAAAACCAGCTAGAATTAACTTAATATTCCTGATTCTTCACATTTCTGGTTTTCCTTCCTCTCTTCTCTTCCCAATTTTGCCCTCCTCTGCTCATCCCCCTTTACTTTCCTAATTATTATTCTAAAATGTGGAACTGAAATCATTTATAGTATTATTAATGTTTATTGGTAATTTTATGTTTCCTGTTCTAATTTCAAAGGCAAAGGCTAGGGATGTAGCTCAGTGGTAGAGTGTTTGCTTAGCATGCACAAGACCTTGGGTTGTATCTCCAGCACTGCAACAACAAAAACAAAAACAAATTTAAAGAATAAAGCATAAATATATTTCTTTAAGGAAAAGTGAAAGCATTTATTGAACACCTACTATTTACCAGGTATTGCCCTACATATTATCTCTAATCATAACAACTCTATGTGGAAAAAAGACAGTCCTCTCAAAATCTGAATGTTTGAGAGAAGTCAGTAAATCATAGATCAAGATACATCAAAATATAAATTACAAAATAGCTGGAAAGCAACAATGAAAAGACTACAAATCAAAAGTTAAAGTATACTGCTAAAACACCACACACAAAAATTCCAGTCTTGCCAGGTGCAGTGGCACATGCCTGTAATCCCAGTGGCTAGAGAGGCTGAGACAGAAGGATCACGAGTTCAAAGCCAACCTCAGCACCAGCGAGGCACTAAGCAACTCAGTGAGACCCTGTCTCTAATTAAATACAACACAGGGCTGAGGATGTGACTCTGTGGTTGAGTGCCCCTGAGTTCAATCCCTGGTACTCAGAAAAAATTATAAAATAAAAAATTAAATTAAAAAATAAAAATTACATAGTCTTAGCTGGGCCCAGTAGCACCTGCCTGTAATCCCTGTAATCAAGGGGCTGAGGCAAGAGGATTTCAAGTTCAACGCCAGCTTTAGCAACTTAGCAAGTCCCTGTCTCAAAAATTTATACATATGTTCATATATGAATACACCACCAGTGAAACTCCACATCTTGTAAAACCACAAGATTGGGATTCTAATTAGAATAAATTACACTCCATGTATGTACAATATGTCAAAAAGCACTTTACTATCATGTATATCTAAAAAAGAGCAAATTAAAAAATAAAGCACTGGGGATGTGGTTCAGCAGTTAAATGCCCCTGGGTTCAATGCCTGGTACCAAAAGAGAAAGAAAGAAAATTATGTAGTCTTAAATTCTTACATTAGAAATTAATGAAACAAATATTTGGTGCAATAACTTATTTTTTAAAAAGCTCAAGAAAAAAAGCTGGGGATGTGGCTCAAGCGGTAAGGCCTGGCATGCGCAGGGCGCTGGGTTGGATCCTTAGCACCACATAAAAATAAAATAAAGATGTTGTGTCCACCAAAAACTGAAAAACAAATATTAAAAAAATTCTCTCTCTTTAAAATAAAAATGCTCAAGAAAATAAATGAACTATAGAACAGAAATTTAAAAATACAAAAATAAACAAAATCAAGAATTTGGTTTTGTGGTTTTGTGCATCAATAATCAGTCTTGCTTTAGTTTAAAAAAGTAAGAGAAAACTGAAACAAATTATTTTTTAATTAATAACATTACTCAGATAAATTTTATAAGAAACTCACAGATACTAAGTAACTCATTCAAGAATAAACAGTGCTTGAGTGTGTACTAGAGCAGATAACCAGTATTCACAGCTGGTAAACAAGGAAGACAAGATTTTAACAAAATCTTGACACTATATCATCTTACCACCTATCCTTCAGGGACTCAGTATCAATAATTTTTTTTAAATGATCTTATCTCTTAGGCCACTTTCAATGTATGATTCCATGAGCCCAAGCTGCTCTGTATAGACAAGCACCTGATTTTCATCTGTTGGCCAGACTGACATGGAGTTAGAACTGCTCCATGTGACCTAGGAGATCTCTTACTCTACTACACTTGGACGAGTAGCCATCCTGACGTCTAACTGCTCTTTGCTGAAAATGATGAAAGAGAAATGTGGAATCGCAGCAAAATTTATAATAATAATAAACAGTGGAAGAACTGCTTGAGGAACTAATGCTTTACCAAAAATGTAATAGATAAAACTCATACAGAAGAAACACATTACATTAAAAAAAAAATCCAGTTTATGTAAATGTAACCATGTTTAGGCATTTTTCCACATGTATACATTTGGATATGACAAGTAAGTCTACAGATACTTTGGTGAAGTTTGCCTCTACAAACTCTTTCATTTTCTCCTTTTAGCAGTTGAAGGTAAGAAGTAAATAATTTTTTTTGTCTATTTACCACTTTGTGTTAGATGAGCACGTTTTAGAAAGTTCTATTCATTCCAAACTTAAGTAATGTTCTCTGTTTCCAAGTGAATTTGGACAAAATACATTTGGGGGAAAAATATGCAGTATTTTTGCTTTCTTTGGATGTAGGTATTACAAATTCTGTCCAGAATCAAATTAAAAATTCTGCTTATCAAGTTATTTCTGAACATAAAGGCTTTTATTAATCTTCATTATAAAGGAATTAGATGTCCTAAGGTAAAAGAAGTCATTCAAAATTTTACCAACTTAGTGAAACTAACTTCATAAGACAACTAGCTATCTAGTTTTCCTCTACTATAGACCAAATGCACAGATTACTTTCTGATTATTAATCCTGATCATTTGACGAATGTTTCATTTCTAGTACATGGCTACCCATTTATATCTGGCACTCAGGAGACAAATCTGACCAAAGAGGATTTATCCATCTGGATTATCAATCATAAAGGGAATAGTTAATAATCACATAAGATCTTACTTATTAATTAAGCTTCCTCAGAAAGAAAGACAAAACCCATAATTTTGGAAAGCAAACAGAAAATCAACATAGCAAACTAAAAAAGAAATCAACTACAGATGAGTAACCCTTATCTGAAATGTTTAGAACCAGAAGTGAGTCAGATTTCACAGAGTATTTTTTGGATTTTGAAACCTTTGCATAGATTTTACAGGTTAAGCACCCTTAATCAAAAATCCAAAACTCACAATATTCCAAAAATCCAGAACTCTTTGAGCATTAGCACTGAAAAAACTTCAGATTTCCAATTTTCAGAATAAGAATGCTCAACTTGTATTCAGGAAACTAGGATGAGGAGAATAAAAGAAAAGTATACAGGAAAATGAAAGGGCATTTTTCAAAAAAGCAGTTACAGGCTACTTTTTACTTAACTCTCATATGTCCTAACAGGGTGATAAATGTTGTATCTAAATCTTCAATAATGTTAAAAGTAAATATAATTACATTCTGATGAGAAAGAAACCTGTCCAAGGCCAATTAGGTTGCAGATTCACACAAAAGCCACTTACAAAGGATCAGAGTAGGAAAAGAACAATGTGCAGAAAAGAGGTCACTGGAGATCTTTAAAAGACTGCAGCTCTCAGAGAGTAAGAATTCTTAAAAAGAACTAAGGAATAGATAGAGATAACTTTAAAATGCTCTCTGTTAAAAGGAAGGAAGGGAAGAGGAGACAAATGGGGCAGAAGGGTAAAGACTCTGTTTGTTTGTGTTCTAAAGAACAATAGTGAGCTGAAGTGGTGGAATGGGGTGAGGGGTCAGGAGATTTGAAAACTCAAGAATAAGGATGAATGGACAGTGCTCCAAGGGAGATGGCAGTAAATGTAAATGCAAGTAGACAACCAAGATCATCAAGAGTGGGGTAAGCTCATGTTGAAAAAACAAAACAAAACAAAACTTTCACATTTGATTTATATAAGTTTCATTGCAGTCAAGCCCTGGGTCCTCTTTGCAGAGGCCATGCCTCTGTTTAGTATTGGCCCAGTGATGGAAATAGTATGGCAAAGACAGCAAGCTAAGATACTGTTAGCATCCATGTCTACTGCCATATAGAACATTTACAATGTAATCCTTGTAATTCTAGATCACAGCTCCAAGAAGACACAGATATTTTTGTTTTTATCCCAAGCACCTAAGTCATTATCCAGAATAAGGCCCTCAACAAATACTTGATGAATGAACAAAGTCACTCTGTAAAACAGGTATCAGTAAATATTACAAAGATTAAGGAGTGACTCAGAGAAGTAACTTAATTAAGTAACTTAATTAAAGTCATACACATAATATACAAGGGTGAAATTTAAGATATTTAACAACTAGTACCATGCCAGCACTGTCATTCAGAACAGACACAGGTGATGCTGGGGAAGCTGCAACCTTTTAGTTATAGGATCATGGGGAAGAATCAGGAGAAAGAGGGGCTAGGGTTGTGGCTCAGTGATAGAGCACTCACCTAGCACACCTGAGGCCTGGGTTCAATCTTCAGCACCACATAAAAATAACAAATTAGTGGTTAAAAAATAGGAGAGAAAAAGGTAGATTACTGGCAGGGCAAGGGAGACTCAGATATATACTGACTATCAGCCTTCACATTAAGTGGGACACCCAGGATTCTAACCTGTACTCATCTGACTCTAAAGCCTTTTTATAAATAAATCTGAAAATAGAACTGTTCGGTAAAGAGCAAGAACAGAAGACAACTGGAGGTTATGTAAAGAGTAGAAAAGCTATTCAAACCAACTGGAATGAAAAAAGGAATTAGAAATGAATTAAAGATTAATAACTGAATTCAATCTATTGCTAGACAATTAAAAAAAAAACAGGATGGGGTTATGGCTTGGTGGGTAGAACACTTGCCTAGCACGTGTGAGGCACTGGATTCAATCCTCAGAACCACATAAAAATAAATAAATAAGATAAATGTATTGTGTTCACCTACAACTAAATTATTTTTTTAAAAACAGGATAATCCAACTAAAGTAGGGTAGAAATAAATAAAGAAGAAGAGAAATACAAACAAGCAGAGCAAAACTACAGCATGGAGGTCTTCAATTTCAGGTAAATAATTTGATTAAAAAAAAAATCAACACTGAAGCCAGGTGCAATGGTATGTGCCTGTAGTCTCATCACTCAGGAGGCTGAGGCAGGAGAATCACTTGATCCCAGGAAGTCAAGACCAGCCTAGGCAGCACAGTAATGCCACCAGAAAGAAAAGAAGGGGGGAGAAAGAGAGGGAGAGAAGGAGGGAAAGAAAGGAAAAGGAAAAAAAATGAAGGAAAAAAAAAGCCTGGTTCTTAAGCAAAGAAAGATGGTAAGTAAGATGCATTTCCAGGACCATGAGTTTTGCACAGTAGAGGTGGAGAAGCGGCAAAGCCCAGAGGCAGGTGAGAGGGATCAGTGCACTGAACACCTGGGTGGGATTCACAGATGATATACATACTGTCAACAAGCAAGAGTGCAAAGAACAGGATGCCCTCAGCTTTTATACACACCTACATTCTGGTCAGTGACTTGCAGCCACCACCTCTCTATATCTAACACAGTTCTATTATAAAAAGCACTCGGTAGGGCCTGGCATGATGGTTGGTGGACACCTATAATCCCAGAGCCTTTAAGAAGCTGAGGCAGGTGGCTCACAAATTCAAAGACAGCCTCAGCAACTTAGCAAGGCCCTATGAAACTTAGTAAGACCCTGTCTCAATAATAAAAAGGACTGGGGGAATAGTTAAGTGGTAAAGCGCCTCTGGGTTCAATCGCCAGTACCAAAAAAAAAAAAAAAAAAAAAAAAAAAAAAAAAAAAAAAACCATTCTCTCTCTTTAAGTTGAAACAAATGGGAGAAAAAGTGATATTTACCACAAATGGTTTTTTACACTGCATGGTTTGGAGCCAAAAACTATCTACAAAGTCTTCAATGCTGTAGTATCTTAGTGTATCTTAGTGCACTAAGACATTTAAAATAAAAGTATATATTTAAAAGAGTTTTCTAGAAAAACTCAGGACTGAGAATGTAGCTAAGTGGTAGGAATCTTGCTTACTAGTATGCCTGAGGCCCCTGGGTTCAATTCCCGACACTGAATAAAATAATTCAGCCAGGTATGGAGGTGCACCCTTTGATCCCAGCAATGTAGGAGGCCAAGGAAGGAGGAACCCAAATTCAAAGAAAGCCTCAGCAACTTAGTGAGGCCCTAAACAACTCAGTAAGACCCTGTCTCAAAATTTAAAAAAATGAAAAGGGCTGGGGATGTGGTGCTCAGTGGTAAATGCACTGGATTCAATCCCTGGTACCAAAAAAAACTTCAGAGTTATTAGGGAAGGTCACTTTACTATGGCTCTGAGATTTCTGCATAAATAAAAAACAAGTTCAATTATTTATTTTATTTATTTATATACCAACAAAAATTAAAGTGAAGAGGTAGTTACCTGTTCTTTCCTCTCCCAGAAGACACACTGAACACTACCAACTGGCCAAGAACAACATTTATTCCTTCCAATCGCTCATGGTAACAGCTTCTCCCTGCCCTTCTCCTCAAGTTGGCAAAGTTCATATCATTAGTAACATTCTATACAAAAGTCTTCTTTTTCCACATCTTTTGTTGGTGTTTTACAGTTGCACATACTGGCCAGTTATCACTCCGCAGTACTTTCCCACTTCCTCCCTCCATCCCTCTCATCCCTTAGTTCCTTTCCTCTACTGATCTTCCTTTGAATTTCATGAAATCTGCCACCATCTTTCTTTTCCTTTTCCTCTCCAGTTTCTGCAAATGACAAAAAACATACAACCTTAACCTTCTGAGTTTGACTTTTTTCACTTAACATAATAATGGTCTCTAGTTCCATTCATTTTCCTGCAAATGACAATTTCATTTTTTCTTTATGGTGGAATAAAACTCCATTTTGTATACATACCACATTGTCTCTACCCATTCATCAGTTAATGGACACCTAGGCTGGTTCCATGTACATTATGCTGCTATAAATATAGGTATGCATGTATCACTATAATATGATGACTTTAATTCTTCAGGATAAATACTAAGGAGTGATATTTCTATATGCAATAGGCAAGGAGATGACTTCAGTGATTGAGACAAAAACAGCTGATGTTTTTTCCTATTTTTCCCTTCCCTGGGGCACTTACCAGGAAATCTAGCTGAGGTTTCCAGGTACATGAGGCTATAACTTAATCATTTCTTAGCAAAAAAAAAAAAAAAAAAAAAAAAAAAAAAAAAAAAAAAACAACATTGCTTACATGAAATTGGAGTTAGGATAATGTAATCATATTGAGAGGGGACAAAAACCTACAGCAAAATTGTACAGTAATATTTACATCATAAATGGCTGGTCTAATCAGAAATATATTATACTAAGTGAAAGAGACCAGACCAATCATGCTATATACTGCATGATTTCATTTATATGACATTATAGGATAGAGAACTAATCATTGGTTGCCAAGGGAGGAGGGCAACGAGAGAAGTCATTTACAAAGGAGAAGAATAAGGGAATAATAGACACATTCAGAGGAGTAGTTAACCAATTCTGTATCTTGACTGCATTGTGGCTACATGACTAAATTCTAAATTGCCAAAATTCATAGAACTGTACATGAAAGAAGTAAATTTTGTTATGTGAATTTTAAAAAAATACTAAAAAGATTTGCTTAAGCTTCATCTCACCTCTCTACTCCCATTACCCTTTCAAACCTCTTGACATGACCCAGCAATGACCCCACCCCATCCACCTAGCTAATGCATACTTGCCATTCTGGCTTCTATTAAGCTATTCCTTCCTTAGGTGTGGCAGGATGGGGTCCTAGACAAGTTGGGTAGTCAAATATACCTGGCATGGTTTACTTCTGGCATTCTCCCAGATACTACTTGAATGAGATTGAGCAAATTTCTTAACCTGAGTTCAGTTTCTTCATCTAGGGGAGAAAATAAATATTATTTACATATCTCCCAAAGCTTTTGTAAACTAAGAGTCCAATAATGTGTCTAATGGGGCACATTAAGAGTGTTTAATAAGTGCATATTCCCTAATGTTTTTTCTCTGCTCTCTGAGAGCATGCACCTCACATACATAAATCCATTACAACGTGAAATCCACATATTATTAACTGTCTCTGAAAATGAAATCTGTGTGTCTCTAATCCTTGAATTTACAGAAACCAATATGTTGTCTGATATCAATAAATTGTTAGAAAAATAATTTGTCTACCTGATCTGATTTTGTTAAAAGAGCTACTGGAAGACAGAGAGATACAAACAGAAAAGGACAGAGTACACTGAAATAATCTGGGATAGATGATCTGAAGTTTTGAAAGTTTCTATAAGGATGTTGTATGTAGCAATAACAGCACAAAATTGCAAATAACCTAAACATTCAAAAATGAAGGTAAACTGGGTTTGGCAGCACACATCTATAAAGATTGCAGGTTTGAGGCCAGACTCCAGAACTTAGCAAGACTCTGTCTTAAAATTCAAAAGGGAGGTGGGGGGAGAGGGTGCTTAAGGATGTAGCTCAGTGGTAAAGTTCCCCTGGGTCCTCAGTACCAAAAAAGGAAGCAAGGGTATGGACAAAGTGGCATATGCCAACTACAGTGAAATACCACATAACCATTAAAATTTTGTAGAAAACTATGGGAATTTTTACAAAGAACATAAAATGGAGTCAGAGGAGCAAAGCAATAGACCCGCTACCTGAGAGTCTGGAGCAGTAGGATTGCTTCAGCCCAGGAGTTTGGGAGCAGCCTGAATGACAAAGCAAATTCCACCTCAAAACAACAACAACAAAAAAGAAATATATGCAGTAAGTTCCCAACTTGGTTTTTTTTAAAAAAAAAAAAGTGTGGGTATATGGTC